TATTTTATTTCTTGTTTAAATGTTTAGTAAATGTGCGGCTCCATAACTCTTCCTAGCAACTCAAGTACACAGGAAGTTGTATTAAGGGGGGGGGGGCATTCTGTGTGAACATGGTGGATATTTTCTTTTGATGTGTTTGGTTTCCTAGCGGCCTTAATCTCTGTCCATCTCCCTTCCCGCCCCCTCACATTTTGTCCTACCTGTTCCTCACTCTCTGCCTGTCTTGTCACTGCTTTCCTCTCTCTCTTTCTCTTTGTATTTGCCACTCTCCCTCACTACCTCCCCCCCTCTCTCTCTCTCTCTTTCTTTCTCCATACCTTCAGTTGGTGTAGAAGGTTATGTGTTGCCTAGTGTCCACCATTCCCCCCTCCCACACATTAAATATATGTGTACTTTTAAAAACACATTTGCCGTCATCCCCCCCCCCTTTTTTTTCTCCTCCCACATTGATGACACCTAGGGGAGGGAGTGCACCCCTTCCTGCTACCTTTTTCCCCTCTATATCTCATCTTATTTCTTACTCCCTTCTTTCTCTCCCTGTCTCATTCCCACTTTTTTTTCTTAAACTTTATTCTCTCACCTCCTCAGTCTCACCCTTACCACCTCAGCCTTCTACACCACTTTCCACCACCTCCTCTCTCCCCTCCTTTCTGTAATTGGAAAACCAGAAATAAAACGAAGTCCACTGCTGCCCTGACCTATTTATGTGTCTGACCTATTTATGTGTGTGGGTAAACTTCTCTATTTTCCACCAGTGGTGGGTTGGGATCCCCTGGACTTTTTTTTTTTCATAAAATGACCTTGGCTCTCAGGTCACCAGCCTTAAGTGTAAGAAATTGAATTATTGTTGTCCACACACAATAGGACAAGCAAGGGGCAGTAGGGGGTTAGCACTGTTGTTTTTGGACCACGGCCACATTCACATTGGGAGAGGATAGGAACCGGAAAAGTGGCCTCACTTAGAGATTTCCTAATTCTATTTTTGGCACTCATTGTTCTTACAACCCCCCCCCCCCACAACCGTGTCTTACCTTTCTTCTCTCACCCCTTCTCTTACCTTTGATCTCCTTTCTCTCTCCATTCTTCCTCTCTTCCTTTTCTTGCCCTTTCTCCTGTCCCATCTCTTCTTTGTCTCCTCTCCATCCTGTCTTTTCATTTTCTCTAGATTTCCTTACCCTCTCCCCTCTCTCATTCTCCCCCCCCCCCCCATTTTTTTACTGGTTCATCTACATATTTTTTTGCCCCATAACTATCTTTTCCTAGTGGTTGTGTCCACTACACTTGAAATTGTGTGTGTGTGGGTGGGGGGGGGGGGGGGGGGGGGGGGGGGGGGGGGGGGGGGTGGTGTGGGGGGGGGGGGGGGGGGGGGGGGGGGGGGGAGTAGGTGGCTGTGTTTTTTCTTTGATGTCTTCCTTCCTGCCCCTCTCTCTTAATCTGTGTTTGTCACTGTCACTGCCTTCCTTACCCACCTCTCTCTCTCTCTTGCTTTATGTCTGTTTGCCTCCCTTCATCACTTCCTCTTTGTATACCTCCCTCCCATTCTCCTGCTCTGCCTTTTTTTCTCTTTCTTTGGTTCTCTCCCTCTGTCTGCTTGCCTCTCTGTGCTGTCCCTTTGTCTCTCTCTCCTTTATGTCTACATCTCTCTCTGCTTGCATCTGCTTCTCACCCTGTCCGTTCTCTCTCCCTCTGTCTCCCTTCTTTCAACTCTTTGTCATATTTTCCTCCTTCCATATCTCTGTTTCGTTCCCTTTTTCCTTCTCTTTTCATCTGCCCATCTCTGTATCTGCATTCCCTCTTTCTGTATTTGTCTCCCTCTCTGTCTTTCGCTGTCCCTTCCCCACTTTTCCTCATCATGTCTCCATCCCTCCCTCTCATTTTTTCCTCCTTCCCCAGACTTCTTTTCCTTCTTTTCTCTACCTTCATCTGTCCATCTTTTCACTGTCTCTTCCAGCCTACCTCAGCATGTGTCATCCTCTCTCTTCATGACTCTCTCTCTCCCCCCTAACCCTCTCAGGTACCAGGTCCAGAACAGACAGGACTCCTTGAGTATAAAAAAGTACATGAGACAGGAGAGCTGGTGAGAGACTGAGTTTTTTTTTGTCAGGACAAAGGAAATGCTACATGATGATGATATCTGTGCTGGTATACCAACACATGTGGCACAAATGAAGTACCTTGTGTGCTCAGTACACCCTTGAACAAGGCAAAAATCTTGTTTCAGACAACCTTGAAAAAAACTAAGGAGACCTTGAAAAGCCTTGAAATTGATTGGTAAATTTGGCTATGAACCCTGTCAGTGGGTAATGTGGTCATCATCATCACACTGGACAGTTTTTCAGTGGGTAAAGTGGTCATCATCATCACACTGGATAGTTTTTCAGTGGGTAATGTGGTCATCATCATCACACTGGATAGTTTTTCAGTGGGTGATGTGGTCATCATCACCACACTGGATAGTTTTTCAGTGGGTAATGTGGTCATCATCACCACACTGGATAGTTCTGCTTCCCAAAACATTTCCTTGCATTTATTAAAGGCCAAATTGACCTGTGAGCTCAGGCCAATAGGTACTGGTTAAGTGTGTGGTCAGTGTGTCACATCAGCCACTTTTAGGTCCCATGACAGTACCTATTTACCTTTTTTTAATAACATTTAGTGACTAATAGTCTCATTTTGGGGTCCTGTGTGGGTTCCAGGGGCCTCTTTGAAGGGAAAAGGGAGGGGGGGGGGAGATAGATTCACTGCTCCTCAACAAGCATGAATGTAAGAGTTGACTAATTAGAAATGTCCCTTTAAGTGAGAGTGCATCTGTCCACACAGTCTGCACTCAAATAAGCCAGCTCTGTCAAACGGGTGTGCACGTAAAACTCCAGTTCTGGAAGAAGACTGAAATCCAGAAGTTGATCAAGAACCAGAATTTGTCCAGAGTTTAGAGTCGGGGAATGTCAGAGGAAGAGGAAGACATTTGTAGGCACACTGATGGATTTTATTTTAATTCCCCATTATCTAGAAAAGTATTGGGTGGGTGGCTTAAAGTTCTTATTTCCTGTGATAGAGAAAACATTCAACTGTGATTTGACACTTAGTGCTTTGTTCAGATAAACTTTTTAAAGTGACCATCCTAAAAATACCTGTTGAATATGAATAAAGCTGATCATTGTCAGTAACATGCAAATTACACACAGTTTCACAGTTCTTATTATAAGCTTTTATTAAGGTCACTTTTGTATGTTTGTTTCTAATGTGTTGTTTATCTCTCTGACATCTTGACGCCATTGTTAAAAAGTTTTTCCATTTGTTTTGATCTGGGTGTCTTCACTACTGTTTTGTTAGCAAAGCACTGGTAGTCTGAATTATATTCATTGGATGACAGTTATCATCTCAGTCAGTCCGTCAGCCACTTGATTCAGGCCATGAGACTAGGTAGCCCTATGCAGTAATGATTCATTCGGATCTCTTAAAATCCAAAAATTTGGAGTGGTTGAGACAGTTGGTTCTATATGTGTGCACAATGTGATTAGAGAATAATCAGTCAACAACAACATTTGGCTTGTGTCTTTCTGCTGTTTCAGGCACATTACATTGTGCTGAATAGGGCCATGGAAATCACAGCACATGGTGATAGTGAGTGCAGCCGGCAAGACTGGTCCTTATTAAGATACATTTCTTTCAAATGCTCTGCTCTTAAACTATCTGTAATCACTTTCTTTGTGATTCACTTCTTGATTTGCCTCTTCCATGTCACTAGCTGTGTTATATGTCTCCTGCTTGCAAACATCTTTCTGTGATTATCATGAACTTTCTGTTGTCCTAATTCTTTGTTAATCTGCTCACTATTCTTGCTGCATACCCTGATGTTGATTTCTTGGTCCAGAGATAGTTTTTTTTTTTTTTCCACTGAAAGTCCCAGGTTTGTAAAACTGGTCAGCTGTCTCTAGCTCTTCACCATCAGTTGAGACTGACTGCAAGTCTGTCCTTAGTACCTTATAATTGTTTAGTGCTTTTGTTTGTTGATTTTTCACATTCACAGCAGACATCAGCGAAGGTGATAGTAGATACTGCAGTTCTTTTCTGTGTAGGTTGTAATTGCAGCATCTGGATATTAGCTTCCTAATCCTTGTTTTAACTTTTTGCTCTGTGGGCATTGTTAAGGCTACCATCTGAGAGAGAAGGGATGACTATAACCTCCTCTCAATAATAATAATATTGATGGCTTTCTTAATTTGATTATCTCTACAGCCATGTAGTTTAATTGTTATGAAACCTTTCATAAAAATACCTGAATGTTTTCATGTTTGAGCTTGATTATCAGTATACCATCCAGATGCTTTTAAAGAGGCTAAGAACTAAAAACATCTTATCACATGCATAAAAAATAGGTAGTCACTGTTTTGTGGCCACGTTATATATTAGAAAAGAAAATAATTCAACATGTGAAAACTAGAAACATCTGTGGAAAGAGATAGAGGAACATACAGCATAGAAAAACTGAAAGAGCTGACAGGTTGGCTGGATCACTGTTCGGCAGTCAACCTATGGAAAGAAATGGAAAGGATGTAGGACTTTGAGGGCAATGAATCGACATCACTCACCAGAATGATAGACTTTGAAGTTAAGATCGGAATAGCAAAAAATGAGACGCACATCAGAGGACTTGTTAATCAACATAGAACTGGTACTATTAGCCACCGGACGTTGGAGTTCATACTGAGGGGAGGGTCTGAGCACCTGCGGATATGTCCAGAGTGCAATGATGACAACCCAACTAACTAACTGAGAGAAGATTCTAGACAGCCTTTCATCACGGCATGGAGAGTGTTCAGCACACAAACTGAAACATGCTGTTGGAGATCACAAGATATGCAGATGCATGAACGTCCCCACCAGTTGGCAAGGCACTTGATGGTGATGATTATGACAGTCATTAGTCATGATAAACTGCAGGATATAAAAGAAGAAGACTTGAAATTAATGCCAATATCTGTATTTGTTATCCTCAGTGGAGGTGTCAGGTTTGCAGATCTCAACAGAGAGCAAGGTAGGGAGATGTTTCTGTCTGAATTACCCAGACATGTGTGTTTATCTGTGAGGCTTCATGCGTTCGAGTACTGAGTGCAGGAACCAACCAGTCTGGGTTGTCATGGGCTGTGAAGAGAGTATTTTTCTTCTCCAAAGAAGTTGCTGCATGATGATGATGGATACTGGTTTAGTTATTTATTGTTCAACAACTTGGTGTTTGAAGTCAGCAGAACTGGGGAAAGGTAAGCTGGCAACCTTAGTGGGAAAAACCAGTTTCCATAAGCGACGGCCATTGACAGTTATCTGCTGACATTCAAATGGGTACGCATCCTGTGTGTGAGTTCCAGGGCCTCTATTTTGCTGGGAAAATTAGTAGACCTACGGTCAGTCGCCCTGAGAATTAGGTGTGTTTCCTTCAAAGTCGGAGTGCATCAGGATCTATGTGAGAGACAAGGAACCAATAGTCTGCATTAAAAATAAGCCAGATATGTAAAACGGATGTGCATGCAAAACTTAAGTTTTAGAGCAAATCTAAACTTTCGGAAGTAAACAACCAGAACTTAAAGCCAGACTTTACAGACGATGAACTCAAAGAAGAAGAAGATGACAGATGGATATGTTATTTGTCAGGATAATTAACACACATGTGATGAGAGTCTTAAATATTCAGAATAAAGACATGCTGGTCAGGAGAAAATTCTGCCACCTTAAACGACGAGTGGATGGGTGCACTGACTACTGTAGTGCCATTCGCCATAGTAAACTTCTCTTCCACCTTCTTCATTCAGCTAATATTTTAGTAGAACACTGGAAAGTGGTTTTTAACGTTCTTGTGTCTGTTTTAAATCAAAACTGATATTTGTACCTTTTCTTAGTACAGTCCTTACTTCTGTTTGCTGGGTTTGTAACTTTCCCACAAAAGGACAGTTGGATCCCTTTGTATAATGTGGTGTATGTCTCCTGGTACCAAGGTCTTTGTTAGTCAATTGTGTCTGGGTGTTCTTGTAGAGTACCTGCCTTAAATATAAACATGCATAACAGCACCCTGGAAGATTGACATGCTCCAAACATTATACTCTTTTGGGCCACAAGTCAGGTTAGAATTTACATTTTACAGTTTTGCATTCAGTTTTATTATAGAGGTATTCCTTACCACAAAGATATACATTTTAAATCAGTCGTTTGGGGTTGCTATCATTTGAATGATTGGTTATTTAGTGGCACTTGCAGTTGATGGACATTTTTAAACCAGTTCATCATTTAGTAGGAAAAACATTCAATGGACATACTAACCCATGGTATGGGAGTGGACTGGTGAGTGACAGAGGCATTGCCACTATGTAGTTTCTGGTCACTGCATCTTTGGCAGTTAATTAATGTCATCATCTCCTGCAAGTTCGGCTTAGACATATAATGGCCTTTTTTGGCTATTTTTGTTTGTTGGTCACACATGCTAGTTCTAGAGTGGGCAGGATGAATGTTTGAAAGGATGACTTTTGTGATGAATTGGATTTAAGTGAGCAAGAGTTGTCAGCCTGACTCTTGCCTTAGTTCATTATGGTAGATGGTAACAGGCTTCATCCACGTATGATCTCTTTATATGCTAAACAACAGCTTTAGCTTTTCTTCAATTCTGTGATGAACATTGCTATGTAACTGATGAAATTGTTAAGTGTATTTGTAAACTTTGCATTTGTATTTTAGAACATAAGATGGACTTTGATCCTTTCTTGCAGTATTTGCACTGAAATATTTGTTTCCTCCCTATGGAAAGTGCATTCTTACATAAGAGTTATGATACATACTATTTTTGCATACAAGTCCAGCTTTATAATTATAGTTAATAACAATCACACAAAATGTTTAGAATAAGAAACATATCTTCTCTATATTGTTATTTATATTGTGGCGAGCACATCGAGCCCTGGACTAGATGTTAGCTGGTGATACAGTGATTTAACCAGACCAAAACATGCTTTTATGGTCTTGCAACTTATTCTCCTGATAACCTTTGAACGTACTGGTTTCTCTGACCTTCTACATAGAAATTTCTTTCATCAGTGAATAGAATGTTTCTCCTATATCCTTTAGTCCGCTTTCTGCATTTTATTTCCTATTTGTAACACTTCTATTACATAAGTTCAACAGTGTATTTTCTTATTTACGCCTGCATGATTTTCGCGTCATCTTTTAGTTGTTGTCTGTGAACTGTATCATCTTCTGGTCCTTTCTGCTTCCAGTTACATTTTAATGCCTTACCTGTCTGTTGATTGTCTGTCGCATTTTTCGGTCGTTCAGTAAAAAAAAATAATTTCTGACAGTTGTTTAACTTCTTTGATCTCATTTCACTTTTTGTCTGTTTGTTGCTAAATTGATCCTGTTTGCTTCCTTTTCATCCCATGTCTGTTGGTTAGTGGACTGACAGTTTATGTAGGTCTTGTCTAGATGATCATGTAGGATCACAAACTTTGTGCAGTTTTTTATGTTCATATCTATCCAGCATAATGACTGTATTACACAATGAATAGTATAAGTTGAAACATGAAATTCTCTAGCCTGAAACATGATGCTATCTGTGCCAAGTTTACTTTCCTTTCAGTGTGTTAATGTAAATTATTCATGTCATTTCTGTTTGACATGTATTTTTATACTGTTTATGCAATGAGTATGTTTATATATTTAATTATTGTACAATCACCAGCTTTCAAATTCCAAGAAGATATTATTCGTACAATGATGGTTGTAGAAGAAACATTTCATCGACTGGCTGCTGGGCGAAAACAAGATACACTTCTGATTTGTGATAGAGGTGTCATGGATGGCTCAGCTTGTAAGTTGTACAGCTGTGAAGCTTGTCTTGTTACATACTGTATCGAAAACTCGCAGTAGAAATTCTTTAACCCTTGCGCCCAAGAAGCCGCCTTACTGACACTTCCACTTGGATCCATTGCCCCATGAATGTCAACTTGTCTAAAGTTGACGAGATACATAGTTAGTACTGTTGGCAATTTTTTGTACCTGGGCAAACATTTAGGAGGTCAGGACATAAATACATTAACTAAAAATAGCATTTAAGGGGACTTTCCTGTTAGCCAAAAAGCTTTATTAAAGCCACGTTGGTGTCAGATATTCACATAAGCCTCAGTGGTAGAGGTTACTGCGTCACGGCCTGAATCCACCGGTTGACATTTTTTGGGATTGCCCTGGGGAATTTATTTCATTTGATGCTTCCTTCTGTCCTGTTTATTGATTAGTCACTTTGTATATTGTTGTATATTTTTAGATTTAAAAAATGTACATAAATAATGTTTTTACAGGTTGATAAGAGTGTTATGAGTTTTGTCAGTCACACGGACAAAGATGGCGGTATTGTTACATGGACAAAGATGGCAGTATTGTTCCATGGACAAAGATGGCAGTATTTTTACAAGGACAAAGATGGCGGTATTGTTCCAAGGACAAAGATGGCAGTATTTTTACAAGGACAAAGATGGCAGTATTGTTCCAAGGACAAAGATGGCAGTATTGTTCCATGGACAAAGATGGCGGTATTGTTACATGGACAAAGATGGCAGTATTGTTCCATGGACAAAGATGGCAGTATTTTTACAAGGACAAAGATGGCGGTATTGTTCCATGGACAAAGATGGCAGTATTTTTACAAGGACAAAGATGGCAGTATTGTTCCATGGACAAAGATGGCAGTATTGTTCCATGGACAAAGATGGCGGTATTGTTCCATGGACAAAGATGGCAGTATTGTTCCAAGGACAAAGATGGCAGTATTTTTACAAGGACAAAGATGGCGGTATTGTTCCATGGACAAAGATGGCAGTATTTTTACAAGGACAAAGATGGCAGTATTGTTCCATGGACAAAGATGGCAGTATTGTTCCATGGACAAAGATGGCGGTATTGTTCCATGGACAAAGATGGCAGTATTGTTCCATGGACAAAGATGGCAGTATTGTTCCAAGGACAAAGATGGCGGTATTTTTACAAGGACAAAGATGGCGGTATTGTTACATGGACAAAGATGGCAGTATTGTTCCATGGACAAAGATGGCAGTATTGTTCCAAGGACAAAGATGGCGGTATTGTTACATGGACAAAGATGGCAGTATTGTTCCATGGACAAAGATGGCAGTATTGTTCCATGGACAAAGATGGCGGTATTGTTCCATGGACAAAGATGGCAGTATTTTTACAAGGACAAAGATGGCGGTATTGTTCCAAGGACAAAGATGGCAGTATTGTTCCAAGGACAAAGATGGCAGTATTGTTCCATGGACAAAGATGGCAGTATTGTTCCAAGGACAAAGATGGCGGTATTGTTCCATGGACAAAGATAGCAGTATCTTTACATGGACAAAGATGGCAGTATTGTTACATGGACAAAGATGGCAGTATTGTTCCATGGACAAAGATGGCGGTATTTTTACATGGACAAAGATGGCAGTATTTTTACATGGACAAAGATGGCAGTATTGTTACATGGACAAAGATGGCAGTATTGTTCCATGGACAAAGATGGCAGTATTGTTCCAAGGACAAAGATGGCAGTATTGTTCCAAGGACAAAGATGGCAGTATTGTTCCATGGACAAAGATGGCGGTATTGTTCCATGGACAAAGATGGCAGTATTGTTCCATGGACAAAGATGGCGGTATTGTTCCAAGGACAAAGATGGCAGTATTGTTCCAAGGACAAAGATGGCAGTATTGTTACAAGGACAAAGATGGCAGTATTGTTCCATGGACAAAGATGGCAGTATTGTTCCAAGGACAAAGATGGCAGTATTGTTACATGGACAAAGATGGCGGTATTGTTCCAAGGACAAAGATGGCAGTATTGTTCCAAGGACAAAGATGGCAGTATTGTTCCAAGGACAAAGATGACAGTATTGTTCCAAGGACAAAGATGGCAGTATTGTTCCATGGACAAAGATGGCAGTATTGTTCCAAGGACAAAGATGGCAGTATTGTTCCAAGGACAAAGATGGCAGTATTGTTACAAGGACAAAGATGGCAGTATTGTTCCATGGACAAAGATGGCAGTATTGTTCCAAGGACAAAGATGGCAGTATTGTTACATGGACAAAGATTGGCAGTATTTGTTCCAAGGACAAAGATGGCAGTATTGTTCCAAGGACAAAGATGGCAGTATTGTTCCAAGGACAAAGATGGCAGTATTGTTCCAAGGACAAAGATGGCAGTATTGTTACAAGGACAAAGATGGCAGTATTGTTACAAGGACAAAGATGGCAGTATTGTTCCATGGACAAAGATGGCAGTATTGTTCCATGGACAAAGATGGCAGTATTGTTCCATGGACAAAGATGGCGGTATTGTTCCATGGACAAAGATGGCGGTATTGTTCCATGGACAAAGATGGCAGTATTGTTCCATGGACAAAGATGGCAGTATTGTTCCAAGGACAAAGATGGCGGTATTGTTACATGGACAAAGATGGCAGTATTGTTCCATGGACAAAGATGGCAGTATTGTTCCATGGACAAAGATGGCGGTATTGTTCCATGGACAAAGATGGCGGTATTGTTCCATGGACAAAGATGGCAGTATTTTTACAAGGACAAAGATGGCGGTATTGTTCCAAGGACAAAGATGGCAGTATTGTTCCAAGGACAAAGATGGCAGTATTGTTCCATGGACAAAGATGGCGGTATTGTTCCATGGACAAAGATGGCAGTATTGTTCCAAGGACAAAGATGGCAGTATTGTTACAAGGACAAAGATGGCGGTATTGTTCCAAGGACAAAGATGGCAGTATTGTTCCAAGGACAAAGATGGCGGTATTGTTCAGGTATCCAATCAACACTTTATCACTAATTACACAACGGAATGGGTGGCTGTGTCAGAAATGACCAGATGACAAACCTGAATCAGACAAGGCATTAGCTGCTGGAATGGCTATGATGCTAACATGGGGAATACTGGAGGTGACCAATTGACTACTGGTGGCATTATTGACACAACTTTGTTATTAACTCTTGTTTGATACAGATTTTAATGAAGGTGTCAGAATGATCTCAAATTCCCTAGAAATCAGTTTGAGGGATATTTATTAGGAGATTTGCATGAACTGTAATTAAAATGACCTTAAATTCCTTGGAAATCTCAGGTTATGGTGGTTTAAAAAAATGAACAGTGACAGGGTTATAGTGACATTTCAAGATGCTAAAAGTGGTCCTTAAATATAACGTCTACTATATGAGGCAGTGTTAAAGGAGGCTATTTAAAATACTGCCACAGAAACTCTGGATCCTGCCGTCAAAAAGCAAAATGACTGGTTTGATGAGAACTCTTAGGAAATACAAGAGTTATTGGCTGAGAAACATCGCCTCCATAAAGTCTTTCTAAGTGATACAAAGTCCACATCCAAGAAGAATACATTCCAAAACTTGCAGGGAATGATGCAGCGTAAGCTACGTCAGATGACGGACTCATGGTTGAGTAGAAAAGCAGATGAGATCCAAAACTTTGCTGACAGAATGACCAGAAACATTTCTGTTATGCACTTAAGGCAGTCTTTGGTCCATCAGCAACATCCGGACTTCTTGCTCTCCTTCAAGTAGATCAGAAAACTCTGGTCATGGATAAAGAACAAACTCTTCGAACATGGGCTGATCATCTTAACAATATTTTAAATCTGTCCTCATCTGTTAACATTGACGCTATCAGCCGTCTTCCACAAGTCCCTATAAACATGGCACTTGAACAAGTACCTTCCACAAGTCCATATAAACATGGCACTTGAACAAGCACCTTCCACAAGTCCCTATAAACATGGCACTTGAACAAGTACCAACCCAAGAGAAAACTGAGAAGGCGATTCATCAAATTTCTAGTGGTAAAGCATTCAACTCAGTCAGCAGAGAGGGTCTGTGGAAGATTAAGGCAAATTAGGGCTGCCAAAGGAAATTTGTCATGTTTATTTAGGAGCTGCATGATGGAATGCAGACCAGAGAATTTTCTGAACCTTTCCTTGTTACAAATGAAGTCAAACAGGATGTGTACTCACACCAACTCTATTCAGTATCATGTTCTCAGCTGTACCGTTTGACGTTTTCGAGATCAAGAAACAGAAACTGATATTTGCTTTTGCATCGATGGAAAACTTTTCAATCTAAGGGGGATTATAGCGAAAACCAAAGTTAAATCGTGTGTTATTCAGGGATCTTCTGTTTGCTAACGCCTGTGCTTTTAATGCCGGTTCAGAAGCAGATCTGCAGTATAACATGGACAGATTCTTCCAGGCCAGTACTAATTTTGGGCTTACCAGTAAGACAAAGAAAACTGACCAGCACCTGGCAAAGTGTACACTGAACCAACCATTCTGGGAAATGGCCAGAAATTAAAGGTAGTGGATAGATTCTCATACCTCGGTAGCACATTGTCTCAGAATGTTAACGTCAACGATGAGGTGAGCACCAGGATCTCTAAATCCAGCTGCACATTCGGCAGGTTATACACAAATGTCTGGCATCCTTTTGGCATCAGTCTGCAAACCACACTGAAGGTATACAGAGCAGCAATGCTTCCAGAGCTACTGTATGCCTGTGAAACGTGGACTGTATGCACATGTCAGGCAAAAAAACCTCAAAAAACTCACTCACTTCCATAGAGTCTGTCTGAGAAAGATACTGAACTTTAATTGGCAAGACATGGTCCCCACACTGTGGTACTGGACAGGGATGGCATTCCCAGCATCACTACCATCCTGGTGCAGTCAAAGATTCCATGGGCTCTTCATATTGTTTTAATGCCTGACCATCAGCTGCCAAAAATAATCTTCTATGTGAGATACATGGCCAGAAAAAACGCTTCAAGGACACACTAAAGGTATCTTTGAAAGCCTTCACCATAATCCCTGACACCTGGGAGGCTGCGGCACAAGACCAGACTTTAGGGCACACGCATGTCCAAAATGGTGCAACGATGTGCGAGGCATCTAGAACAAGAGCAGCTGAACAGCGAAGACAGGCCAGAAAGAACCGTCAAATAGGCCTTTTATCTACAGACTGTGCCCTGCCCTCATTGTCCTAGACTCTTCCGGGCACGCATTAAACTTATAAGTCACCTCCGTACCCACAAACATTCAATTCATGATGGATGAAAAAAGCAGTGGTCCTCATCACTTATGATGGACGAACAACAAACTGTTATATGAACAGTACAGTAACACAACAAACTGTTATATGAACAGTACAGTAAAATGTTTCTATTTATTTACTTATTGTTTTTGTTTTATATTTAAAAAAAAAAAAACATGCATGTGCGCAAACACATACACACACAAATAAAAACATAGTTCATTGTTAATATTAACTGCATCCTGAACTAGCATAACCAAGCAGCAAATATTTGATGTCACAGTTGAATGAATGTTTATGCATGAATTACTTTTCATTACCAAGCTGCTTAAAAAACTTTTTTTTTGTCGATCTTGATGCTGGCCATCTTTTAAAAACTCTTTATCATTCATCTTTTTTGTCAGTTGTACCCATTCAGAGCCCCATCGAACAAACAAATGGTTTTCCCAAACTTCAATCTTGAGGCCAATGTCTCTATACAGTGATGTTGGAATAGATAGAATAGAATGAACCCTCTGTGATGTATAATGGCACAGCAGCATGATGATGATGAAATAAACAGTGCCTTCCTGTGCAGGGGGGGATTGGTAAAGTAACATCTTCCCTTAGTATTTGTTTGCTGTATGGCTGTTTCTTTATTTGGCATCTTTTGTATAATTCACAAACAGTGTAATACAAATGTATGTATTGTACTCTCACAGACTTGCCTAAAGAGGACTGGTCAAAAATGAAGGAATTGAACCAGTGGAATGATGTGGATCTGCGAGACAATCGATACAACCATGTGATTCACATGGTGTCTGCTGCCAAAGGGGCTGAGGCTTTCTACTCTGTGGCTGACCACAAAACTCGGTCTGAAGATTTGGAAGGGGCAAAACTTCTGGATTCAATAACAGCCAATGTAAGTTTGTTCTTGATAACTGGGCTGGGTTTCCTTCTTTCTAACCCAGCCACTTGTTGTGTAATCCAGTCTATCCTCTTGATTTTTGAAACTCATTCCATCAGTATAGTTTCATTGTTCAGTCTGCTCTTTCCCATTAGTTTCTACATCTTATGTCTCAACTTATAACACATTAGAAAAAGCTAACAGAAGATCCTGACATCCCCCCCCCCCCCACCCCTCCCCCTTTAAACACTTTGATGAGGTAAATGGAGAAAGAAGAGCTGATTCTGTCTTTCAAGAGTGAAGGACACATTTTTATGCTAGTGGTGTACCATGCATATAGTGCTACTAATATTTGTGTAGGCCAATAGGCACTTGATGTCTTGTGCTGTAAACATTGTTCCAATTGTCTTTTCTTTCTGTGACATTTCCTGTAGCCTATTTTAGCCTGGGTTGATCCATGAGCCAAGGTCAAGTCTACATTGTTTTTAAAACATATGCATCCACAGCGGCGTAAATTCAAATCCAAAAACGTTAGGGTAGCAATCAAGCACCCAGCCATCTGGTGGAATTCTCAACACTAGTAGATCAGTTGTTGAAGTGCAGTGGATCTCCAGTGTTCATCATTAATCCATTCCTGAGGGGATGGCGACTGTTAAAAAAGATGAATATCAAACGAGTTTTTCCATGGGAATTAACTAAAAATGGTTTAATCCATTCCCGGAAACGGTCCATTATCTTTATTCTTGTCTGATGACTTGCTGACCGCGTCAGAGATGAATATTTTCAAGCAAATATGAAACAAACACAAAATTCAACGAAGAAATAGGACAAATTAAAAAAAAATATATATTTGCGTGTATAAATATTGGAGTTTCGCTGTATCTCATCAGAAGAGAGACATTTCTTCTGTTGGACCAGCAGCTGTCCTGGGCAAACAATTCAATAATCATCATCGTCAGGTGCCTTGTTGACTGGCATGGGCGATCATGCTTCTCCATAATCCACAATCTCCTGCAGTATGTATCAGTTTGTGTGCCAACACACGACACACAATAACACATTCAATAATACTGGGTCTAAAAGTTATACATGCAGTCTCTGTCTTTATCTCTTCCCTCTTTCTCTTCCTCCCTCTTATATTTTCTCATTGTCTCTCTTTTTCACTGTTTGTCTCATTATCTCTGTCTATTTTCTGTTGTTGTTTTTTTCTCTTTGTCTTATCAGTATCATTTACTCTCTTATTCTGTTCCCTCTGACTGTCTCCCTCTGTCTATTTCTTATTCTCTCTCTCTCTCTCTCTCTCTCTCTCTCTCTCTCTCTCTCTCTCTCTCTCTCTCTCTCTCTCTCTCTCTCTCTTTGATTCTTACTCCCAAGAATGGATACATGTCTATACTGATGGATCAGCATTTAAAGCTACCATTAAAGCAGGTTACGGAATCTGCATAGGTTATCCCGATGGATCTGTTGAAAAGATTTTTGATGCATGTGGGGAATTCTGTTCAAATTATGAAGCTGAAATAATTGCACTGGAAACAGCAGTATACCACCTAAAGACTGTAATGGATGTTTACCCTTCAAAGGTCCAAAATATTGTCATCTTCACAGATTCAATGTCTGCCCTTCAAGCTCTGGAGGGCAGTGAACGCTGCAGAACTGACATAGCCAAGATAATCCTGGATGCTGATCAGCTTATTACCCTCATACAACATCAGAATAGTGATGCAGTGGATTCCAGGTCACTCCGGTACACCAGGTAATGACAGAGCTGACAGATTGGCAAAGAAAGGAGCAACACAAGAACAACCACCTACAGCGACAACCCTCCAGACAGCAAAAACACTGATTAGAGCTATAAACAAAGAGACTTGGTTGAACAGATGGGCCATGGGAGACACTGGAAGAGAGGTTTATAGACATATGTCTGGCCCTGATCCTAATGACAGCATTAACCATCTAACAAGAAGGGACCAGGCCACCATCTTCAGACTTAGAACGCAACATACTCCACTCAATGGACACCTAAACAGAATACAGCCACAACACTCCCCAGAGTGCCAGCTATGTAACTAACCCTACAAAACTGTTGAACACCATCTCTTTGAGTGCCCAAAACTTAGTGAGACAAGAAGAACGCTACTCCCTCCGAGACCAGACAAGTGGAACACCTTGTACGGAGGAAAAGAACAGCTTGTGAAAACATGTAAATTCCACTACATGGCATTGGGCCAAAGGGCGAAAGCTCATGTGCCGTTGGATCGATAACAACAACAACTCTCTCTCTCTTTCTCTCTCTCTCTCTCTCTCTCTCTCTCTCTCTCTCTCTCTCTCTCTCATTATTGTTTTTTTTTTTAAGTACTTAATTTTCTTGTAGCGTACGTCTAAGTAAAAGTAAGTAAAGTTAGTAACGTATTCTCAAAACAAAGGCCTACACCTTTCTCTAGTGCGTATATATACGTAGAACTAAGTTAAGTTGGATGTATATCATTTATGTACGTTCCAGTATCAGATATGTCGTTTACTATAATAATTAGCAAACATGCTTACGTCCTTTTCAGGACGTAATTTTTTCTTATTTGAAGCCCCACTCTGGCTTTTGCCAGGGGCCGCAATATAGGCAGACCATCAATATGGCCAATTGTCTGAACGCGGTTTCTGGGACCTCTCCACGGTGATCCTCATCCGCATGGTGGCACTTTGTGTCATCGGGTGTTTATCGCTTGTGTGATGTCCTAGTGGGGTAGAAAGTCAGTCAGTCGTTTATTGTCAACAAAAAATGTTGTAACGATTCTCGTCCTTTTTAGGATGACATTTTTCGTTATTTGAAGCCCTACTCTGGCTCTTGCCAGGGGCCGCAATATAGCCTGGCCATAAATGTGGCCTAATGGCTGAACGCGGTTTCTGGGACCTCTCCACGGTGATCCTCACCCACATGGTGCCACATTGTGTCATCGGGTGTTTATCGCTTGTGTGATGTCCTGGTGGGGTAGAAAGTCAGTCAGTCTGCCGTTTACACTCACTTCACTAGCCATACACTTGAGGGATGCAATGTACACCTATCTAGTCATCTCCTTGTGAAATGCAATTTTTCGTTATTTGAAGCCCCACCCTGGCTCTTGCCAGGCGTCGCAATTTGGCCCGGCTATAAATATGATCTAATGGCTAAAAGCGGTTTTTGGAACCTCTCCACGGGTGATCCTCATCAACATAGTAGCACCTTGTGACTTCGGGTGTTTATCGCTTGTGTGATGTCCTAGTAGGGTAAAACGTACTACTACTACCACTCCGCTGTTTTAACTAGCACTATATTAAACAGTAGTTTGTCGCATTCTGCATGGCCTGAACATTAGGAGAACTGGCACGTAAACAGCATTCTCTCCTGAAGCTGAGATATTATTAGCATGTCAAGTGCCACGATAGTCTGGAAAAAGCTTAGATGGATGGCGCAGTTTCCGAAAAACAAGACAGAAGTCGACAGCGAAAGTGTACACAGGACAGTGAAGATGCATTGACTATGAAAGTACACAGGGCTTAAGAATTTGCTAGAGAAAAAGTCTTTCTTCTGTGCAGTGAAGATAGCGATATTCTGTTAAGGACACGCTGATTGAGTTCGTCTTTGCATTTGCAAGGTCTCTCTCTCTCTCTCTCTCTCTCTCTCTCTCTGTAAGGATTTAGCAGCGCATGGTTTCTCAAAGCCAAACTGCAGACTAATCAATGAGACAATCCTGTATACATATTTCTGTAAAAATCTCACACAAAGGCATGAAGGGGCCTGAAAAATGCAGACAGAAAAATGAAACACATATATATGTAGGAATGTTTTACTTATGACACTGTTTATGTGACAGAGGTGTTTCAATTATTACACTGTTTATGTGACAGAGGTGTTTTACTTGTATTTGAAAACACATTGCTCAGTTCAGTTCGTTTGTTCCTGTATTTAATCTTGCAGCATTTTGCTTCAGTTTCTCTGTTATTGACATGTGTTGTTCACTTGCAGGCATGGGTTGGACATCCTTACTATGATGTTATTGACATGTGTTGTTCACTTGCAGGCATGGGTTGGACATCCTTACTATGATGTTATTGACATGTGTTGTTCACTTGCAGGCATGGGTTGGACATCCTTACTATGATGTTATTGACATGTGTTGTTCACTTGCAGGCATGGGTTGGACATCCTTACTATGATGTTATTGACATGTGTTGTTCACTTGCAGGCATGGGTTGGACATTCTTACTATGATGTTATTGACATGTGTTGTTCACTTGCAGGCATGGGTTGGACATCCTTACTATGATGTTATTGACAACTCTACAGACTTTGAGACAAAGATTTCTAGGATGATTGCTGTAAGTTATGAAATTATTCCAAATGTTCTACATATTCATGTAACAAGTTGTCACAATTAGAGGGCACATACATACTTTTAGTAGTCGAGTTCTTCATGAGGGAAAGCTAACAGATGCATTTGAAATAAAAACAGGTGTGCGACAGGGATGTCTTTTGTCGCCTCTCCTATTTTTACTGGCTATAGACTGGACTATGAAAACAGTAACTGCTAACACCAAGAATGGAATTCAGTGGACCCCTACAAAACAGCTTGATGATCTGGACTTCGCTGATGATATTGCCTTTCTGTCCCATTCACGGAATCAGATACAAGATAAATTAAATATACTCAATGCGAGATCACAGCAGCTTGGTCTGAAAATCCATAAAGGAAAGACAAAGATAATGAGAATAAATCAGGCAAATAGTAATGTGGTTTCTCTTAATGGCACCCCACTCCAAGACGTGGAGTCGTACACCTATTTGGGCAGTAATGTAGATAAAGATGGAGGAACTGATAGAGATATTAAAATAAGAATACAAAAGGCAAGAGGGGCTTTCATAGCACTAGGGAATTTGTGGAGGTCAAAAGAAATTAAAAGAAATACTAAACTAAAAATTTTTAATTCAAATGTCAAATCAGTACTATTGTATGGGGCGGAAACATGGAGAACAACGAAGGCAATTACTAATAAATTACAGACATTCATTAACTGGTGCCTGCGCTGAATAGAGGGAATAAAATGGTATGATAGAATAACTAATGTAGAACTTTGGGAGAGAACTAAACAGGCTCCAGTGGATCAGGAGGTGAGAAAAAGACGCTGGCGTTGGATAGGGCACACACTGAGAAAACAGGAGAACAGCATAACTAGAACGTCTTTGCATTGGAACCCACAGGGGCATAGGAATAAAGGAAGGCCAAAAAACACATGGAGAAGAGAGCTGGAGAATGAGGTTAGAAAGATTGGGAGGACATGGGGAGAGCTCCATGTAATGGCGAAGGATAGAACGACTTGGCGTGAGTTGGTTGAGGGCCTATGCTCCATTGGGGGATAAAAAGGCAGAAGAAGAAGAAGATACATACTTTATAATTCAACACTTCACCACAGCTTGCCACCGGTCTCTTCAGGACCCAGTCACATGGTCAAATTATTATCTTTTTATCTTTGCTTAACGAAGCGGTGTGGTCTTTTTTTTTTTTTTAATGATTTGTGTTGGTCAGTACAGCTTTCATTTTGCCATCATTAAATTGTTGTAAAAAAAGATCTTTTATAGAAAAACATTTAAAATATCTATGGTACTAAAATTGTTACAGTAGGTTCCCATAAACGCTCTGTCCCCTATCTTCAGCAGCCAGCAAAGAGTTCCAGTTCTGATGGGCACTGTAGCAGTTTGATTCTATGTCCATCTGACTTCTTGCCTGAGTGTAGAGCATCGGCCAGAACCTCTGGTCACTCTCCCCTACACCTTTCTGTCCAGACTATGATTATATGTGCTTACACACTGTTCACCTGCTCCTGAAGGACCTTAACCCCATCTGGCTCGTCATGTGCTTACACACTGTTCACCTGCTCCTGAAGGACCTTAACCCCATCTGGCTCGTCATGTGCTTACACACTGTTCACCTGCTCCTGAAGGACCTTAACCCCATCTGGCTCGTCATGTGCTTACACACTGTTCACCTGCTCCTGAAGGACCTTAACCCCATCTGGCTCGTCATGTGCTTACACACTGTTCACCTGCTCCTGAAGGACCTTAACCCCATCTGGCTTGTCGTGTGCTTACACACTGTTCACCTGCTCCTGAAGGACCTTAACCCCATCTGGCTCGTCATGTGCTTACACACTGTTCACCTGCTCCTGAAGGACCTTAACCCCATCTGGCTGGTCATGTGCTTACACACTGTTCACCTGCTCCTGAAGGACCTTAACCCCATCTGGCTTGTCGTGTGCTTACACACTGTTCACCTGCTCCTGAAGGACCTTAACCCCATCTGGCTTGTCATGTGCTTACACACTGTTCACCTGCTCCTGAAGGACCTTAACCCCATCTGGCTGGTCATGTGATTACACACTGTTCACCTGCTCCTGAAGGACCTTAACCCCATCTGGCTTGTCGTGTGCTTACACACTGTTCACCTGCTCCTGAAGGACCTTAACCCCATCTGGCTTGTCATGTGCTTACACACTGTTCACCTGCTCCTGAAGGACCTTAACCCCATCTGGCTTGTCGTGTGCTTACACACTGTTCACCTGCTCCTGAAGGACCTTAACCCCATCTGGCTTGTCATGTGCTTACACACTGTTCACCTGCTCCTGAAGGACCTTAACCCCATCTGGCTTGTCGTGTGCTTACACACTGTTCACCTGCTCCTGAAGGACCTTAACCCCATCTGGCTGGTCATGTGCTTACACACTGTTCACCTGCTCCTGAAGGACCTTAACCCCATCTGGCTGGTCGTGTGCTTACACACTGTTCACCTGCTCCTGAAGGACCTTAACCCCATCTGGCTTGTCATGTGCTTACACACTGTTCACCTGCTCCTGAAGGACCTTAACCCCATCTGGCTTGTCGTGTGCTTACACACTGTTCACCTGCTCCTGAAGGACCTTAACCCCATCTGGCTTGTCATGTGCTTACACACTGTTCACCTGCTCCTGAAGGACCTTAACCCCATCTGGCTTGTCGTGTGCTTACACACTGTTCACCTGCTCCTGAAGGACCTTAACCCCATCTGGCTCGTCATGTGCTTACACACTGTTCACCTGCTCCTGAAGGACCTTAACCCCATCTGGCTCGTCATGTGCTTACACACTGTTCACCTGCTCCTGAAGGACCTTAACCCCATCTGGCTGGTCGTGCATCACTTCACCACCTAGTGTGCAGGACCAGCCAGCTGACTGACATGTTTATTGTGCAACACACCTGCATGCCCCAGAGACAAGATCCAAATGTCTTCTAAAGCTATGCTTGCCACTCAGCACAGAGCATGCCTGTCTCCACCTTGTGAGCATATTTTGTGAATCTGTTTAATCATAACTTATGTTATTGTGGTTCCCAAGCCAGCTACAAGCTGCAGTGACTGCCTCCATTCCCATTCTCAAACTAGATGGTGTGCTATCATGTGCCAGGCTTTGTTGTACTGTGTGACATACATTTGCTTTTGCCGTGAACCCCCATGCACTTCTACTGCTTCTCAGCACAGTTACAGTTATAGATAATCACATTACCTGGCCAGGAATTGTCTTAAATCATTTGTTGAACTTTTAATTAAAGAATGCCTGCTGGCCAGTCCCTGCACTTCTGGCCCAATGTGGTTAGAACCTTGCATAAGTCTGAATGCTGCTTGGATAATTTGACTTACTCATTCCTACCAAACATTTTGAAGCATGTCAGATTGTGCGCCATCCAAGACTTTTCTCTTATCAGCTTGTGGCTGTATGAATGAAAAAAATAAATTAATATACTATGGCCGAACATTATGTTCCAGGGCTAGTTTTTTTTTTTTCAAGTCAGTTTATGGCTATCTGCTTCAGATTTCTTCCCTTCTAATCATATACACTTATTTCAATGTTCTTGTCAGTGATGGAAACACCTCTGGTGTGCCCTGCTCAATTTATGGCTTGAATTTCTTCAGTGACATTAAATCGGCAACCTTTTACTACTTTCTCAAGTTGTGTGGACAAGTAGAAGTCACACAGAGCAGTATTTTGCTAAAAATTGATTTGTAATGACAAACCTGTGAGCAGAAACATTAACATGATGCCAGTGCACCACTTTTCAAGATGATTCCTGCATGCAGAATCGCAGCCACCTGACTAACAATCTTCACTTAGGATAGTCTGGCACAGAACAAAGACAACATCATCTGCAACCTTATCTTCAGAAGCTTGGTGGCTCCTTTGGAAATGGGAATACGACTCAAATGTCTTTGATCCAGAAGCTGAAAGCAGCATTTGAGAAGCCTCAGAATAATTTGTTCCAGGGCTGCTAATGCACTGCACTGTTATGTCTAATTATATACTCTATTCTGCAAATGCATGGAGATAGCAGATTCCTGTTTGGCACATAATCACTGTTTGGCACATAATCACTGTTTGGCACATAATCACTGTTTGGCACATAATCCCTGTTTGGCACATAATCACTGTTTGGCACATAATCACTGTTTGGCACATAATCACTGTTTGGCACATAATCCCTGTTTGGCACATAATCACTGTTTGGCACATAATCACTGTTTGGCACATAATCACTGTTTGGCACATAATCCCTGTTTGGCACATAATCACTGTTTGGCACATAATCACTGTTTGGCACATAATCACTATTTGGCACATAATCACTGTTTGGCACATAATCCCTGTTTGGCACATAATCACTGTTTGGCACATAATCACTGTTTGGCACATAATCACTGTTTGGCACATAATCACTGTTTGGCACATAATCACTGTTTGGCACATAATCAGTAAATGGCTGCTACATTGTTACATATTCTAGGGGTGTACTATAATATTGAACCAGTGTCTTCCTGCAAGACTGTGTGTGTTTGTGTGTATATACATGTGTGTGTGTGATGTTACAAACAATGCCTGGGAGACTGAATGTAGATTCACTTCTCCAATGTCTGCAGGCCGTGTGTCAGAGAGTTGATGTGCATTTGTTAGCCCCTGATCTGGTCATGACTTTGGTGTTGTGTATCTGCTTGTGGCTCACTTTGTCTTCTCATGTTTAGAGAGCAGCCCACTATGATTACTGAGAACTGGTTGAAGGTCGAGAAAGCCACTTGGCTACTTGCCAACTTGCCTGCCTCATGACCCTTCATCTCAGGGTGTCTTTGGTATCCTGTGTCCACTGTCATGCTGTCAACCTCTGTCTCTTCTTCCTGGAACCTCACCCTCCGTTACTGTTTCTTTTCAATCTTTTGCCATAGTATGTTTCAGACATTCAATCATTGGCCATAGTATATTTCAGACATTCAATCATTGGTCATAGTATATTTCAGACATTCAGTCATTGGTCATAGTGTATTTCAGACATTCAATCATTGGCCATAGTATGTTTCAAACATTCAATTATTGACCATAGTATATTTCAGACATTCAGTCATTGGCTATAGTATATTTCAAACATTCAGTATTTTGCCATAGAAAATTGTAAACATTCAGTCATTACTGATCAAGTATTCTGTGAATCACTCTGCATGGCACACTACTTGTCATTTGAGTACTTATGGTGCTCTGTTAGTCCAGAATATAAATAACTGTTTGATTGCTTTGGCAGGCTTTCCCACACTATCAGGAGTTCCATGTGGTGCACGACTATCTGGTGACACCCAGCAGGAAGATGCAAGCAAGGCTGCGGAAGCGAGGCCAGGCAGGTCAGAGTTGTAGGGCACCTGTTTGATTCTTGTTGGTCTGTAAACATTAGACACAACCTAGCAGATTTATCTGTTTTTGTTATTGAAATTATTCATTTAAATTATGACGCAAACAACACATTAGACAGTTTCTGAAGTGCTGGAATATTTCTCTGCACCTCGTGCAATAGTGCACTCATTTGTATTGTCTGGTTTTAATGCCCAGGTTTTGACATTATGCATGACCTAGCCTTGTCTAAACGATATCAAAGTTTTCTATAGAAATGCAAGGACAACAGAAAGGAAATTAGCACACCAGATAGTGTCGTCCTTAGTGAAAGCAACAGCAGACTTCACATGGTTAATGAATCGGTATGATGGTGCTGTGATTTCAATCACAGGCTGGAAGGAGAGTTAAGGATGCTGTGATTTCAATCACAGGCTGGAAGGAGAGTTAAGGATGCTGTGATTTCAATCACAGGCAGGAAGAAGAGTTAAGGATGCTGTGATTTCAATCACAGGCTGGAAGGAGAGTTAAGGATGCTGTGATTTCAATCACAGGCAGGAAGGAGAGTTAAGGATGCTGTGATTTCAATCACAGGCTGGAAGGAGAGTTAAGGATGCTGTGATTTCAATCACAGGCAGGAAGGAGAGTTAAGGATGCTGTGATTTCAATCACAGGCTGGAAGGAGAGTTAAGGATGCTGTGATTTCAATCACAGGCAGGAAGGAGAGTTAAGGATGCTGTGATTTCAATCACAGGCTGGAAGGAGAGTTAAGGATGCTGTGATTTCAATCACAGGCAGGAAGGAGAGTTAAGGATGCTGTGATTTCAATCACAGGCAGGAAGGAGAGTTAAGGATGCTGTGATTTCAAACACAGGCAGGAAGGAGAGTTATGGATGCTGTGATTTCAATCACAGGCAAGAAGGAGAGTTAAGGATGCTGTGATTTCAATCACAGGCAGGAAGGAGAGTTAAGGATGCTGTGATTTCAATCACAAGTAGGAAGGAGAGTTATGGATGCTGTGATTTCAATCACAGGCTGGAAGGAGAGTTAAGGATGCTGTGATTTGTATAAGGAGACACTCCGGGTGGACTTTACACAGATCTCCCCAAATGGTCACTTTTCATTTACAAGTTTGTTGGGCTGGTCGACTCTCCTGAAGGTTACAGGTGTGTCCTGTTCTTTTGTTTGCTTTCTGTGTTGTCTTCCATTTATATTTTCATTCAGAGAAAGAGAATGCCTGTGACATAGGTGGCAGCACTCTCGTAGGGGAGTTGTGTTAGGACCAGTGCACCATATTTTTGGAGCGTTAAAAGCACTGGTGTGCTGAAATATACAACACGCGATATCAGCGTCATCACAGAACACCCCCGTAACCTTGTGACAGATTCAGGAACTAGCAACCAGAAGTGACCTAGTGTGTATATAGGCGGGGTATGGGGAGATTAACGCTATGTTTACCGACACTGCATATTTCACCTCAGGTGTCAGCAAGCTCTGTGCTGGTTCTGTGGATCCTCAACAAGATTCCTGCTACACATCCTCATCTTGCACTACAGATAGTGGCCGAAACCCAGCTGGCAGGGGATCTCGGTTGATGGCATACAGAGATGCACTGCCTACACATCCTCCCGCACTCGTCACCCTCTCCCCCCCCCCCCCCCCTCTCTCCATTTTTTTCCCCTTTCCCGTACATGAGTGCTGGCTTCACAAAAAACTCATTTGGAACATGAGTGGAGTCCGCTGTCCAATGAAAATCTCCCCAATGTAAATTGTAAACTCAAGTTCACATGTCTATCACCTGAGAGTCCTTCTGTATTATAAACCTTGGTTCAAACATCTGTCCACCGAGACTCGTACTTAATGGCACCTTAGGTTCAAATGTCCGTAGATTGAGTGTCCTACTGACAGCATAGGTTTAAATTTCCCTCATTCAGATATGCTACTTAAGGACACAAAAGTTTAAAATTTCCACTAACATTGGCCACATTCATCGAAGTTTAATGACCATGCAGGGAATGCATGATGCATGCTTCACATAAAAGTAACAAAAAGTGCTGGGTCATCTATGGGAAAGGTAGCATTGTCAAAGAGAGAAGTCCAACATGCTGAGAAAGAGAAATGCCCATTTGGGCAGGGAATTGGATGAGTAGAAGGCACAGTTTACACATGTGAGGTTACGCAGTCATGTGCTGGACACAACAGTTCATTGAGTGAACCCAGGACCAGAACTCCATGCATCTGCTCTGTGTTTATGGAAGCCTTCTTGGATGGCAGGGAATGCCCATGCTCTGCCCCTGCCTTCCCTTAAGTGTTATGGTGGCACTTTGTGTCACCGGGTGTTTATCGCTTGTGTGATGTCCTGGTGGGGTACAACTTACCTACCTACCTTGAGTGTTATGGTGGCGCTTTGTGTCACCGGGTGTTTATTGCTTGTGTGATGATCCTGGTGGGGTACAACTTACCTACCTATCTTGAGTGTTATGGTGGCGCTTTGTGTCACCGGGTGTTTATCGCTTGTGTGACGTCCTGGTGGGGTACAACTTACCTACATTCCTTGAGTGTTATGGTAGCACTTTGTGTCACCGGGTGTTTATCGCTTGTGTGACGTCCTGGTGGGGTACAACTTACCTACCTACCTTGAGTGTTATGGTGGCACTTTGTGTGACCGGGTGTTTGTCGCTTGTGTGATGTCCTGGTGGGGCACAACTTACCTACCTACCTTGAGTGTTATGGTAGCACTTTGTGTCACCGGGTGTTTGTCGCTTGTGTGATGTCCTGGTGGGGTACAACTTACCTACCTACCTTGAGTGTTATGGTAGCACTTTGTGTCACCGGGTGTTTATCGCTTGTGTGATGTCCTGGTGGGGTACAACTTACCTACCTACCTTGAGTGTTATGGTGGCGCTTTGTGTCACCGGGTGTTTGTCGCTTGTGTGATGTCCTGGTGGGGTACAACTTACCTACCTACCTTGAGTGTTATGGTAGCACTTTGTGTCACCGGGTGTTTATCGCTTGTGTGATGTCCTGGTGGGGTACAACTTACCTACCTACCTTGAGTGTTATGGTGGCGCTTTGTGTCACCGGGTGTTTGTCGCTTGTGTGATGTCCTGGTGGGGTACAACTTACCTACCTACCTTGAGTGTTATGGTAGCACTTTGTGTCACCGGGTGTTTGTCGCTTGTGTGACGTCCTGGTGGGGTACAACTTACCTACCTTCCTTGAGTGTCGGCCAAGCTGCCCTGGACCGGGGCTCTAGAGCAAAACCTATGGATCAGGGAATGATGAAGTCACCACACATATAAAGCTACAAATGTCCTACGAAACTTCCCAGAGTGTTCACCCAGGTAACAAATGCCCAGAGTGTTCACCAGGTAACAAATGCCCAGAGAAGTCAGATTTGTCAGTCAAAAGCTACAAATGTCCCACGAAACTTACCAGAGTGTTCACCCAGGTAACAAATGCCCAGAGTGTTCACCCAGGTAACAAATGCCCAGAGAAGTCAGATTTGTCAGTCAAAAGCTACAAATGATGCAGCTCTGCTGTAAGCAAGAACAGTGCTTTTTTTTTAATCACTCATACGAACAATGAAGAATCCTTATGATCACATATATACGTATTGTGCTAAGCATTGCAGTGATACTGGAGTAAATTGTGACTGATCTGTGATATAGTGCTGGGACATTTCTGTCTTAATATTTCCCACAGATTTTGATGGCCCAAAAAGATCAGCAACATTTTACAGTGTTTAAAATCCGTCGTTGTTTCCTGTGGAACAACCAGTACTTCCAGTTGGATGTCTACCAGGAGCCTGCACCTCCCAGGTAAACATTTGAGGGTGTTGCTAATACATCATTGACTTCTGTCATATACCTTCAGTTTCAAGCTACTTTTAGTTCATGCTTCAGGGCTCTTATTGATCCTTGGATCCTCTTGGAAGGCAGCTCGCCCTTTCAAGTCCTTTAAAAGACCTGGAAAAGTTTAAAGGGGGACTAAAGTCCTTGATATTTGCCAGCAGTAACCTTGAAAAATGAAACAAATCAGAAATGAAGAAGCCTCAAATGTTAGACAGTATTGTCCATACATTGAAGAACAAAGCCTAGCTGTGTTGTGAAGCAGCTCTACACCTTTTACTAGTCAAAGTGCAAATCCTCCTGTAGCAGTAAACATTAAAAAACACAAAAAAAACCTTGTCGGGTGAAGGAGAAACTGTGCTATGCGTGGGGATGAGATGGAATTGTTTTAGCATGAAGCCAGGTTGGTTTTTCTTTGATATTAGTTTTATTCTTTTCATGTGTTATTTTTAGCAGTTCTGCCAGTTTGACCTTTGGGCAACTGACAGATTATAATCAGCGTAGTTTTACTGGCTGCATTTTTCACTACCTCTTTCCCCTCTCTCTTTGTCACTATCTCTTCCTCATTCTCTCTTGCTTTCTTTCTGTCTCTCCCTTCCTCTTTGCATTTTTATATGTCTGTATCTCATGTCAGTGTTCTTCTCTGTATCTTTTGTGTGCCTGTCTCTCTCTCACCCACCTTGTGTATCTCTCTATCTGTTTGCCTCTCTCTCACCCACCTTGTGTATCTCTCTATCTGTTTGCCTCACTTACTCTCTGTATCTATTTGTCTGTTTGCCCTCCTCTCTCCCTCCCTCCCTCTCCCTTCCTCCTTACTTCTCAGGGTCTGTTTGCCTTTCTCTCTCACTCTCTCTTTGTATATTTCTCTGCCCCCTCTCTCCCTCCCTCTCTGTATCTCTCTTTGTTTGCTTCTCTCTCTCCCTATCTCTTACTATCCCTCTTTATCTCTCTGTTTGCCTCTCTCTTTCACTTCTTCTGTATCTGTTTCTCTTTATATATTTATCCCTCCATCAGACTGGCTGGCTCTGCACAAATTAGGGGAGTACTGATGGTTTATAAAGCAGACATGGTTAGGGCCTTGTGGGATAATGTGTACAGTTCAGAGGAGCAAATGGATCACCACAGTCTGGTGAGAGTGATGCAGCCAGGAGTGACGAGAGGATCTAGTCAATACTTGATGCTCAGAGAAAAGGCAAGACGGACCTATAGTCAGAATGCCTTTGGCACCATTGATATTGAAACTATGCTGGCTGTTGAAGAAGGGAAATGGAGCACTTATAGAAATGCCCTGAGTGCTGTGATTTTAATTCTTGAATTAAATCAACTCCCTCCATCTCTGTGTCCTTATATCTGCCTCTCTCTCCTCCCTCCTTTTTGCTTCTCTGCCTTCATCTGTATCTCTCTTTCTGTCTGTTTCCCTATCTCTCCCTTCCTCCACATCTCTCATTTTCTTTTTTGTTACTTCCTCCCTCACTCACTCTGGGTCTCTGTAAGTCTGTGCCTTTGTCAGTCCCCCCACCCCCATCTGGTCTAGAGCAGACTGCCTTCTTCTGACTCTCCCATTTCACTCTGTCATCTGATATTTTGAGGAAGTTAATTTACCACTGTTTTAGCTTTCTACATACATCATTTTCTGTCTGTGTCTGCCTCTCTAATCAAGTCTTCTCTCCCTTTAGTGTGTTTATGGCTGCTTTACTGTTCAGTAAATTACTTTTGTCTTTTCCTGGTGGGTTTGGTAAATACAGCGGTCAAAATTCCAGAGTTTGTTTCTTCTTATGTAGCATATTCTCAACATCTGTGTTAGTTCCTGTCTCTCTAGATATGATAGTGTAGCCTACGCATAGCATGCACTCGCTGGTTTGATTGTTGTGCTTTTACCAAATATAAAGCAAATTGTAGTTTTAGTTTTCTTGGAAAATGCAAAGCATTCGGTTTTAGTAAAAGTAAGGTAAAGATTCCTTTTCACGTCTTAGGCGTATCAGGCATATGGTAAGAGCGTCCCATATTTTTACAGACCAATCGGCACTAGGTGGGTAATGTAGTGCATTCAGTTTTGCTAATGTTAATAATGATCATCCCTCTATTTCTTGGAAACTGCAAAGCATTCAGTTTTGCTAATGTTAATAATGATCATCCCTCTAGTCTGCGTCTGTGGCTAAGGCATTGCGAACGCTCTTGAAAATCTTAGGGTGCTGGGTTCGATCCCAGTGCGATTTTGTGTTGGTTTCAACAGTGGTACAGAGAGCTGACCATTTAGAAAGCAGTGGCAAACTACTCAATGTAAAATATGCCTAGAAAAACCACAACAGCCAAAAAATATGCTGGATTTGGTTCTGCAGCGTCCTGTAAAGGATACGCAACTAACGTTTAACTGTAGTTTGGTCCCATCTGCCACCAAGTGTGGAAAAAATGTAAAAACATTATATCTGTGTGTGTTTATCCAAATAAAGTATTGCATATGTCTGGCACACTCTAGAACAAGGCAAAATATCTTGAAAAGTTCCATAAAAACCATTTTAAAAAAGCTGCTGAAATTGGCTACGAACCCTGAGCTTGAATTTTGCTTTAAAGAAAGCGGCAAGCAGTCTGAGGTGGTTGACATCCCTATAGAGTTTGTCTCTGGTCTGAGGTGGTTGACATCCCTATAGAGTTTGTCTCTGGTCTGAGGTGGTTGACATCCCTATAGAGTTTGTCTCTGGTCTGAGGTGGTTGACATCCCTATAGAGTTTGTCTCTGGTCTGAGGTGGTTGACATCCCTATAGAGTTTGTCTCTGGTCTGAGGTGGTTGACATCCCTATAGAGTTTGTCTCTGGTCTGAGGTGGTTGACATCCCTATAGAGTTTGTCTCTGGTCTGAGGTGGTTGACATCCCTATAGAGTTTGTCTCTGGTCTGAGGTGGTTGACATCCCTATAGAGTTTGTCTCTGGTCTGAGGTCGTTGACATCCCTATAGAGTTTGTCCCTGGTGTTGGCCAAAAACAGTTTCCTTTGATCTGATTTCGTAGCTGTGCAGTCATTATTTGACCAATTTCACAGTTGCTTGTTCACTTCACAGTAGTTGGTGTATGCATCATCTTTCTGCTAGCCTAGGTATTATGATTCCCATTTGGATTTTGAAGTGTTTCTTTTAAACCTTATAGCTTTATCATAGGTTGATTCTATATCAGGCTGCGGTAATCTTCCACATTCATTTTCTATCTGTCAAATAAAGCAGCTGCCGGCCAGATGTATTTTAAATTGTGCAATCTATTGTTTGTGTCTGAATTTTTTAAATATATCAGACACTAAAGTGTGTGTTTGCCTGAAATTACATTGTCATAAGGTAATCAAACACACACCAGAAAGTAATCTTTGTGTGCAGTGCCTAAAATAACATCGTCACAGGGTGAAAACACATAATTGGGAGCAGTATGTGTATGCGTGTGTGCAGTGCATAAAAGGAAAGTATTGTCCAAATCATCTGGCCTTTTTTCTTTTTTTTTTAACAGGTGCAAGGGTTTGATCCTTCTGGAGACATTCACTACCGAGCGGGATACACCCACCTTTCCCAGCTTCCTCACCATTGAGCGGGAGGTGACCAATGACCCAAACTATTCCATGTTCAACCTGTCCCAGAAGGGGGACTTGGTGCATGATGTTGACTCTCTGGATGATGACTCCTTCGCCTCCTTTGCTTTAATGAATCAACCATCAGCAGATAACTAACACACAGCTGCTGGCTGGTAGATGATTGTATGGCTGATAGATGATTGTATGGCTGGTAGATGATTGTATGGCTGGTAGTTGATTGTATGGCTGATAGTTGATTGTATGGCTGGTAGATGATTGTATGGCTGATAGATGATTGTATGGCTGATAGATGATTGTATGGCTGGTAGATGATTGTATGGCTGATAGTTGATTGTATGGCTGATAGATGATTGTATGGCTGGTAGATGATTGTACAGTTGATGTAGGAGACTTTCTGGTAAGGGAAAACTGTTGTTGCACTTAAACAAATAAAGTAGAGTATAACAACAGTTAACATACAATAAGTGGCTTGTAAAAGATTATACAGTTGATGTAGGGATTCTTTTTGTGTAAGGGAACAATGTTGGTGCACTTAAACAGATATAGTAGAGATATAACACAAGTTAACAAACATGGTGGGCACAGTTGGCAGTCCTCTGGAAGCTGATTTATGGCCTCACCAAGAACTAGGAACTAGGTTGTGTTGTGATGTTATATGCTGATGTGAATACACACAGTGTGATTACATATAGATGGGACATCACATCAGATGATAACATGGACTGGGGAATACATACCATGTGATAATTTACAGATGGGATATCACATCACATGATAACATGGACATGGGAATATGCATCATGAGAATTCCTGTACTGACTGATGTATGTGTGTGATTCAGAACATAACAGCTTAAGATTTGCTGCTTTAATCCAACAGATAGACCATCAGGCTGCACATGGAACAAACTCTGTGAAGAAGGCAACAGCAGGAGGCTGTTTATCTTTAAGGTATATTCAAATGAACTTCATGCCTGAAAGAAGTTGTAGAACAAGGAGAATATTGCAGGTGTATATAGATACAGTTCTGTGTGTTAAAACTTGAATATTTTCAAGTGTACTAAAATTATTGACATCCACTTTGATGAACAAATTATAAATGAGAATTGTCACATTATTGTAGCCATTCCCTTTTGCCCGGTTTCAGTCTAATATTCTGTTCTCTGTTGTGTACCCGGATGTTTTTGTGGAATGGTTTCAGTTTTATCTTTGAAAGTTTTTGCACAGTCAAATATTTCTAAAATCCCTGTGCCAATACAAAAAAGTTGCAGTCAGCATTTGATAGTCATATAACAGTCAGTTGTTTATCATTTGATTCCAAGATGATATGCACTGATGTGTTGTGAAGTAAATAGTGAACAAAATGCTAGATTTGTGTGTCCAATGACAATATGTTGAAATGTACAGTATCCAGCTATGGCAGAAAAACTAATGAGTGTGCACTTATAGAATCATTTAGTGATTTCTTACATTTCTTAGTTTTATATGTGCCTGTTGTCAAAAATAGGGAAGTATTTTTCACATAGCATTGCTGGATAGTTAAAACACTGAAGTTTTCCAGATTTCTGGATTTTGACTTAAACAGAATTATGCTAGCACAGCTCTGAAACTTTTTCTTGTGCACATCATTTTTAAATTGCTTGACAACAAGCCACAGGTTTATTTCCTTAGGACACTTGCCTCCGTTTGATCTGGAGGGCTTGCAAAACATGCCAGGATCATGCTGAAAATTGTGTGCTTGTTTTCTGACATTGTTATTGGATAAATGAGTTGACTATTTGTGGGCGATCTCAGAATGGACACTCTCGACAGGTAGCTAGCCATTTTACCGAAAGGCTGAGCCTGATCAGTGCCGTCATCGTAACGCATGGGCCCACTGGACACTTGCCTGGGGCCTCATGGGCATAGGGGCTTCATGCTAATATGTGTATGTCAGATGACTTACTACGATGGTTGTCATAGGGGCACCATGCTAATCTGTGTATGTCAAGTGACTTACTACAATGGTTGTCATAGGGGCACCATGCTACTCTGTGTGTGTCAAGTGACTTGCTACAATGGTTGTCATAGGGGCACCATGCTAATCTGTGTGTCAAGTGACTTACTACAATGGTTGTCAGAGGGGCACCATGCTAATCTGTGTATGTCAAGTGACTTGCTACAGTGGTTGTCATAGGGGCCGCAGCACACTCGTCTGCCCTGGGGCCTATAATGCTGTTTAAATGGGTCTAACCCTGACTGGATAGACGCGATGGAGTCGGTTCTCTCAGCAGAAATACTGGACTAGCTTGTGGAAACAGCAATGCCAGTGATTGAAGAATTGTTTGATATTTGTTGTTTGCTTTCATGAGGAAACTTGCTGAAATCCAAACCATATGCCAGCCATTCACGCGGCTGCTAACCTTCAACTTGGTGGGAGATGTTTTGTGGCAAGATTTTGATTCTTCTGATAGTTCTATTACAACTGAATCTGATAACCAGATGGCATGTGTGATTCTAATAGTTGTATTACAACTGAATCTGATAACCGGATGGCATGTGTGATTCTAATAGTTGTATTACAACTGAATCTGATAACCAGATGGCTGATGGCATGTGTGATTCTGATAGTTGTATTACAACTGAATCTGATAACCTGATGGCATGTGTGATTCTAATAGTTCTATTACAACTGAATCTGATAACCAGATGGCTGATGGCATGTGTGATTCTGATTAGACCAGGTCTGGACAATCTCCTGGTCTTGTAGGGTGTAGCTTGGGCTACATTTGAGTATTGGAATAGGCATATCCCAGGTGGTGTAGAAAGCACAGGCTGGTCTACTGGGGATATCTGCTTATCTACATCTACAGGAAGAATTTGTGGAACACTATAACTAGACTTCCAGGCCAACCCAGCCTACAGTGGATACCAGGAAATGTCCTGGGACTCAAGGTGGTCGACCTGTATTGACCACATCACCTGTTGAGTACCAGTTGGTTTACCACTAAATGCATGGTGCGCTGCTACCGTTAAGAGTCCTTTACTAACTTTGCTTGTTTCTACAGATTGTTGTAACTAGAAGGTTCTAGAGAAACTTTTCAGTCCTTAACTTACTTGAGTGCTTGTTTCTACAGATTGTTGTAACTAGAAGGTTCTAGAGAAACCTTTCAGTCCTTAACTTACTTGAGTGCTTGTTTCTACAGATTGTTGTAACTAGAAGGTTCTAGAGAAACCTTTCAGTCCTTAACTTACTTGAGTGCTTGTTTCTACAGCTTGTTGTAACTAGGAGGTTCTAGAGAAACCTTTCAGTCCTTAACTTACTTGAGTGCTTGTTTCTACAGATTGTTGTAACTAGAAGGTTCTAGAGAAACCTTTCAGTCCTTAATTAACTTACTTGAGTGCTTGTTTCTACAGATTGTTGTAACTAGGAGGTTCTAGAGAAACCTTTCAGTCCTTAACTTACTTGAGTGCTTGTTTCTACAGATTGTTGTAACTAGAAGGTTCTAGAGAAACCTTTCAGTCCTTAACTTACTTGAGTGCTTGTTTCTACAGATTGTTGTAACTAGAAGGTTCTAGAGAAACCTTTCAGTCCTTAATTAACTTACTTGAGTGCTTGTTTTTACAGATTGTTGTAACTAGGAGGTTCTAGAGAAACCTTTCAGTCCTTAACTTACTTGAGTGCTTGTTTCTACAGATTGTTGTAACTAGAAGGTTCTAGAGAAACCTTTCAGTCCTTAATTAACTTACTTGAGTGCTTGTTTCTACAGATTGTTGTAACTAGAAGGTTCTAGAGAAACCTTTCAGTCCTTAATTAACTTACTTGAGTGCTTGTTTCTACAGATTGTTGTAACTAGGAGGTTCTAGAGAAACCTTTCAGTCCTTAACTTACTTGAGTGCTTGTTTCTACAGATTGTTGTAACTAGGAGGTTCTAGAGAAACCTTTCAGTCCTTAAATTACTTGAGTGCTTGTTTCTACAGATTGTTGTAACTAGGAAGTTCTAAAGAAACCTTTCAGTCCTCAACTTACTTGAGTGCTTGTTTCTACAGATTGTTGTAACTAGGAGGTTCTAGAGAAACCTTTCAGTCCTTAAATTACTTGAGTGCTTGTTTCTACAGATTGTTGTAACTAGGAAGTTCTAAAGAAACCTTTCAGTCCTCAACTTACTTGAGTGCTTGTTTCTACAGATTGTTGTAACTAGAAGGTTCTAGAGAAACCTTTCAGTCCTTAATTAACTTACTTGAGTGCTTGTTTTTACAGATTGTTGTAACTAGGAGGTTCTAGAGAAACCTTTCAGTCCTTAACTTACTTGAGTGCTTGTTTCTACAGATTGTTGTAACTAGAAGGTTCTAGAGAAACCTTTCAGTCCTTAATTAACTTACTTGAGTGCTTGTTTCTACAGATTGTTGTAACTAGAAGGTTCTAGAGAAACCTTTCAGTCCTTAATTAACTTACTTGAGTGCTTGTTTCTACAGATTGTTGTAACTAGGAGGTTCTAGAGAAACCTTTCAGTCCTTAACTTACTTGAGTGCTTGTTTCTACAGATTGTTGTAACTAGGAGGTTCTAGAGAAACCTTTCAGTCCTTAAATTACTTGAGTGCTTGTTTCTACAGATTGTTGTAACTAGGAAGTTCTAAAGAAACCTTTCAGTCCTCAACTTACTTGAGTGCTTGTTTCTACAGATTGTTGTAACTAGGAGGTTCTAGAGAAACCTTTCAGTCCTTAACTTACTTGAGTGCTTGTTTCTACAGATTGTTGTAACTAGGAGGTTCTAGAGAAACCTTTCAGTCTTTAACTTACTTGAGTGCTTGTTTCTACAGATTGTTGTAACTAGGAGGTTCTAGAGAAACCTTTCAGTTCTTAACTTACTTGAGTGCTTGTTTCTACAGATTGTTGTAACTAAGAGGTTCTAGAGAAACCTTTCAGTCCTTAACTTACTTGAGTGCTTGTTTCTACAGATTGTTGTAACTAGGAGGTTCTAGAGAAACCTTTCAGTCCTTAACTTACTTGAGTGCTTGTTTCTACAGATTGTTGTAACTAAGAGGTTCTAGAGAAACCTTTCAGTCCTTAACTTACTTGAGTGCTTGTTTCTACAGATTGTTGTAACTAGGAGGTTCTAGAGAAACCTTTCAGTCCTTAACTTACTTGAGTGCTTG